TTTCAGCAACTTCAGACATACAAAATTTCACAAGTTGGGTGCTATCAGGGTAGTCTCAGGGGTTGCATTTGCTTTCAATTGTGGCCGCTCAAATGCTTGCTTTTTTCGGGAGACGGCTTTTATGACTTTTAAAAAGTTTTCAGAAAGCTTAGTTATGAAAATTTTTTAAATTAGTTGTTAACCCTGTTGTTGAGTGCTGTCATGATGCCCTCAGGCGTTGTATTTCTTGCCTCAAATGTTTCCTTCGAGTTTCCGAAGTTTGGCGTTTTTTATGGTTTGCTTAAAAAGAATCAGAAAGTTTGAATTTTTCAATTGTTTACTTAGGTGCGGTCAGAGTTCTCTCAGGGGTTGCAAATCTTGTGTTCAAATGAGTTTGCTCTAATCCTTTTAGATTCGAGATGTGGCGTTTTTGTGATTTATTAAAAAATCTGCAGAAAACTTAGATTTAAAAAAATGAAAAACTTGAAATTCCAAATCCTGTGCGTGGGTTCTGTCAGGGTAGTCTCAGGAGTTGCGAAGCTTGCGTCCAGGTATGACTGCTCAAATACTTCTAGTTTTCCAGATATAATGTTTTATGTAGTTTTTTCAAAAGTTTTCAAAAAAAATGATTTAATAGTTTTCGAAAAAATGGAATTTCGCTACCCTATAGCTGGGTGCTGACCGGGTAATCTCCGGGGATGCAAATTTTTCTTCCGATAGTGCCTCTTGAAATCATTTTTAGTTCCGAGGCATGACGTTTCTTCAATATTTTCCAACCTTTTGAATGGGGTGATCTCAGGGTTCTCTCAGCGGTTACAATTGTTTCCTCCAAGTTTGACTGCGGAAATCAACTTTTTTCCGAGATATGCCCCTTTTTCATGCTTTTTCAAAAAAAAATTCAAAAAATCGGATCTAAAAATTTACAAGTTGGAAATTCTAAATACTGGTGGGTGCTGTCAAGTTTCTCTCAAGAAGTTTATAGCTGGTCTCCAATTATGACAAAATTGTCGACGCATTGGCGCGGTGAAGTCACGTTACTGCCAGCAGTTTCAGATATGGCTGCCATCCTAATATTATTGCTCAAATCGTTTAGGTTTACGAAATGGACGGGTTTTATAATATTTCAAAATTTTTCATCAAACTAAGTATTAAACAGAAAAAAGTTTGATTTTTTAAAATTAATTACGCTGTATTTATCTTTTGATGGCACCAAATTTTATTCGAACGGGTTAATGAAAAAAGAATTAAGTTAAACAAGATTCTCATTCATGATTGCATTCGTTTCTTTCTTTCATCTATTTTAAATATCAGCAGTTTTCTTGTAATTTAATCTGTTTGAAGCACCGTGGGTGCGTTAAACGCTAGTTTTTTTTTACATGTGCGTGCTTCAAAAGGGTAGACGAGGTGTTCGAGTTGCAAAATTTTTTTCTTCTCCAAGTTTTCCATAGAGTTTATATATTTTTTTGGCTTAACGAGTAACAGGAATTCAATTGGACGGCAACCCTTCCAGTTTTATTAGATGAATTGCCGTTTTTAGTAGATTTATTTTTCCTTTTTTTTTCAAACGTTTTTTATTCTTCAGGCTCGTCTCGTTTTTTTTGCTACGTTCAAGTTTCAATCAGCGCAGTGAAGATGATTTTGCCTGGATTTTTTGAAGCCCACCACCCACTAAAAACTACACTTTTTTTTGAAAATGTAAACTGGCTATCTTTGGTGCTACCTGCTCATAGTTTGTGAAAAATTTGGATAATGACGGCCATGATGACGGCCTGAGTGAATTTTCGTAGACTTGCATGTTGAAAATGTGGCTTAATGAATCATCCAGAAGGACGCATCAAAGTCGGATACGCTTAAAAAGAAAATCCGCGAAAAATTTAAATTGATATACGTTAAAATGCTTGGATTAAAACTACATGCAGCATTAAGAAATTGTCAGAGGGGTTCCAACATAACAAAATTTGCTTGATTTTTATTCAGCAATTTTTCCACCGCACAAACACAAGCAAACAAGTCAAAAAAAATGAAATTGAATCATACAACTAAAAATTTAGAAGCTAAGGGGTTGACGCTCAGCAAACGTAATAGGAACCTGCACCATCAATCCCATTCCAACTTCTTCCTGAAAATTCAAGCAATCTACTCTGTTAAAACTATGCCATGACGTCGATGGGCTATCGGATCATTCAAAGCTTTGCCCTGATACGAGCAGTCTTAATATGATTTGGGAACGAAGTATATTGTGAATGAGTTTGACCTCGCTCTAAAAGAGTCTTCTATTTGTAAAACTCTAAGAACATCAACTCATTGTGATATCGCTTCTTTGAGACTGCACGTCCTCATAAAGGAAAAGGAGGCGCGGAAATCACGCAGAGATCTCCAATAAATATTTTGATGGCCGCCTTAGGCATCTGACTTTTTCACGATTGATAAAAATGCGAAGAGTTAAGATGCACAAGAATTATCATAGAGATTGTTTCAAGAATTATCAATGCGATGAGATCACCTTCGAAAAAGAGGCTGGAAAACATGATGCTGATGATCAATGTACCTACTGTTTGACTCTTTTGCAGCCAACAGCTGTTGTAAAGTTGATTGAGAAGCCTAAATTTTACTGGTGATTTTTCTGAGCAGAGTATTTTCACTTTCTTTAAATGAACGAGCTAGGATCAAATAAGTGAGACTCAAGACTCTTTTGACGATATGGTTATAATCACTGGTTATGATGAATTTTAATTTTTCCGCTTCAAAAATGGATAATGGCAATTTACAATATCTTAATTAAGAGTAATTAAGATTAGTGCAATTAAGAGTAATGAATGTATTGAGTACTCTTATATAGGTCTTGATGATTTTTTCGTTTTTTTTTTTCAGTAAAACAGTCACAAAATTTGTTTACGCTCAATTTTGCTTTTTCGCGGTTTGAATTGTGATTTTTTTAAAGTTCAGTGCATTTCTATTGTTAAAAGGAAGGCAAACTCCATGTGACCGACTTCTAATTTTTAGTTTTTACTTTGTTCCAGTTTTCTGAAATTGGTATAATGGAAACATTATTGTCAAATTTAGATTATTGTTCTTAGCTAGTTTTTTGACCGATGTAGATATAATTTTCAAAAGTTCTGTCCTTAAGCCAGTGAATACGTAAGGTTATTGTGTTCTCTTTTCGTTTGCGATAGCAAATGCCTTGTAATCGAGAACTAGATTTTTTCACAGTTTACATTTCTAAAAAATTGTATGAAGTTGTTTGCTTTTGGCGCTTGCTTTGGTTCCTAACTTCTGGTGCTTGAGTTCTGGCCAAACCTTGATTTTTTTCGTTATGTTTGAAATGAACTTTTTTCATGTAAAAATTTGAAATATCGGTCTGTCGTTTGTCTGCATATGTTTTGTCGGCTCAATTTCCAAAGCATGGCTTAAACAATTTTAAGTATAGTTACGCTTCCGAAGAGCAAGCGTTATCAAATCGGAATGTAGACTTCATTTTTGGGTTTACAACTTGTTAAATAGAATCTCTTGGTATCTTGGTTCATAACGGAATTTCATAACGCCACACTTAGACTGGAGGTAACGATTACGCCTGGGACGGAAAGGTCATGTGTTCGAATCTGACCAGGACCTGTTTTTTCGAACGGGAATTATTCCGTTTCAAAAAAATTGTCGTGTTGGTTGCAACATCTTGCAATTTTTTTCTCTGTATGCAGCTTTTTTTGTTGCTTTTTATGTTTTCATTTAGTGCTGCAATTTGTAATTCTACTAACTTTGACTGTTGATGTTCCTTTTTTTTGCTTAAGAAATTTTTGGCCTGAATGATTTGGTTTATACTTTTTCGGCTTACTAGCCTAATTTTGGGTCGTTTGAAGGCTAGTAAGTTGTTAAAGTTCTCAGAATAAAATTTATATTTCAAAGTGTTCATGACAACAGTTTTATTTTCGCTCAATAATTATTTTTGAATTTTCATTATACGTCTTTGAATGTGTTTCTGGACCAGTTTTCCGCAAATAGTGCATCATTTCAGACATTATTGTGAAATTTTTTTATTTTTGGTTCTTCGAAAGATTTTCCGTTTTTTTTTTGGACTTAGTGGCTCTCCTTTCCTTTCGTGTCTGCTAGCTTGCAATGCTGTTTTTGTGGTATCGTAAGTGATGTTAAGCTCCGCTTCACTTCTGTGTTGAAATTTGTTGTGTATTTTGTGAGTTTATCAGTTCTGATTTTGAGTAAGTTTTTTTTTGGTTAAATGGTTATCACCTTAGTCGTATATTTTTTGGCGTTTGAAGAGAAGTAAAGTTTTATGTCGATCATTTTTGGGACATTTTTGTTTTCGGCTCAACGGGGTGTCTATAACTTACCGAGTTATTGTCGGCTAGATGGTAATTCGGTCAATATTACGCTTACATCATACGCCTTTCGCGACTGTGTTTTACTGAAGTTGAACGCATATTGAGAAATTTTTGTAGGTTTGTTTTTTTTCAACACGTTTTTTCAATTTCTTTAGATAAAGATCTTCTGCCGTTTTCTTGGTAAAGTTCGAATTTTCAATGAGCCATTTTGTTTTAAGATCAATTATTCGCGAGAAATGATCAATTTTCTATCAATACGCAGCGTAGGCATCGAAAGACATCGGCTCAGAATCCACTCTAGGTTGCATTGCGGAAAAAAAATTGATGAAAATTTTGCGATAGGCAAAAATAATATAATTTTCTACCTGACATTGCATGTGGGTGATGATTGTCAAAATGTATTAAAAAGGTGTTTTTGAGTCATTTCAGTGCTTAAAAAACTTTTAAAAAGTGCATATCGTTTTATTGCGAAAAATTACCTTATAATCACGAACATTCAGGGTTTCAACTTGATACGAATAGTCTTGTTTACACGTTCGTTTGGCAGATGTGCATTTGACTGCTTCGACTAAAAAGCACGCTTTTGGCTAGTCGGGTTTTTTCTTGAGTAATTTTTTGTCAAGTTTGTTTAGTTGATGCTTCACTGGAAAATATTGATTTTTTTATTATCAACTCATGTTTTCGACAGATGTAGCTATGACTGTTAATATCAAACAGCCCGAGAGGTGGGGCTGGGTTGAAAAGTACATGGATCTAGAAGAGTTCCAAGTCACCCAAGACGAAGTCAATCTAGCCTACAAGTTCTACGAAGTGCCATGCTGCTCCTACGAAACAGAAAAACACCCTGCACTTAACTGCAGATCGAATATTGCATGTGTGCGTAATTTGGGACAGGCGAAGCTTGAATTAACAGAAGAAGCTGTGGCGGGCAAGAAACGAAAAGCAGGTGGGTTTCTAATTGACACTTTTTAATTGAGTGGAAGAATTTGTAAGTGTTAAGCACTGTTTGTAATAATGTGCGTGATCTTCAATGATTAATATTCAACAATTAAGCATTGAGTTTCTCATTGAAGTTGAAAATGAAACAAGCTACCGGTCAGTTATTTTTATCCAATCGTCATAGATACAGTATTTTCTATCCTTGATGGTTATTGGAGGTCTAATAGGCGAAGTGAGCAAGAAAGCTGGCTAAGAACCGGGATCTTTAGTACGGTAAACCTTGAGTCGAATGTAGAGTTTTTTTATAAGTGAGCACACGTTCCTATACCTATTGGCATTATACATTAAACGTAGTTACTATCTGAACATGACAAATTCTCGGTATTTTTTTCGTGGTGAGTTTGTGGCACATGAAAGCTTTTGAGTGTGTGTAGATTGTTTTCTAGATTGTCTCGCTCCTATACTTTGCCATAGTACGGTTGTTCCTCAGAAGCAACCGTCTTTTGGGTTATGTCTGTCAAAGGGCTTCGAAAATGCTTAAAGCTTTAGTTTTGAAGCCAATATATTCCTTTTTTCTCAGGTATATTCTTCTGAAATCGAATTGGACGTTTTCACAGATGAGATGAGTCTACTTAGTTTTTTGGCAGCCATTTTTGTTTGCAGCATCTGTTTTAGAGCACCGATTGAAACTCAGTTGAATTTTGCACATTGGATTGATTTTATCGAATAACGAAATATATTGAGCATGTGTCACTCTTTAAACATAACTCAATTTTAGACTGCCGTTCTGTTCGAAGGTTGTCTATGTTGTTCATAATGGTTTTCTTCTTTCCTTCATTCTGTTATTGTAATTGTTTATTTGGATTTAAAAGTTTAGGATAATATCATGTACGCATATTCGTCTCTTTTCGCATGTTTTGATGGGCGATACTAAGCGTTCATTAAACCATACTGAAGTCCTTCAGTCATAAATCGAACAACTTTAATAATTTTTCAAAGAATTGTTTCAGGGTCGAGAAAAATTATTGTACGCTTTTTTAAGATTTAGTCTAAATTCAAGCAAGTATCACGTCACCGTTCGGCATATAAAAATGGATGCAAATTATTCAGATCAGCTAGACAAAACTTGATTTAAAAAAAATTTGAAGTGGAAGCTTGATATAGCGCTTTCTTGGCAATAAAAAGTTTATTAAAAATTGAAAACATTATTGTGCAAAGTACAAAGAATTGCAAAATACATTGTGATCAAAGTAACAACACTTCAACTCTTTCACAGAGAACTGATGTTGTACACTTAATTGAGAAGGATTTTAACTTAGTTTTAATGAACGAGCAAGGATCAAATAGGTAAGGCTCAACATTCTATTGACGATTTGATTATAATCTATCATATATTTAAATGCGGGCTTCACTATCTTCACTATATGTTTAAGCTGTATCGTATATTGCAATGGTAAAGATTTTTTTTTGATTTTCCTGTTTGAATTCAGTGTTTATTTCACCAAGATGGAAAATAACAACCCAATAGTGAGATGCTGTCAGGGTTTCCACGGATGTTGCGATTTCGGCCTCCATATATCAATAAGCAATTCTTTTAGGTTACGAGATACGGCAATTTTCGAGATTTTTCAAAAATTTCTAGAAAATCTAATTTTTGAAAGTTTCTGAAAATTTGAAAATCACCACCTTGTAGTTGGGGGATGTCAGGGTAGCCTCAGGGGTTGCAAATCTTGCCTCCAAATCTTTTTTCTCAAATCCTTGTAGTTTTCGAGATATGACGTTTTTTTATGATTTTTCATAAGTTTTCAAAAACTTGAGATTGAAAAAAATTCAAACTTTGAAGATCTCAACCCTGTAGTTGGAAACTAGGAGGGTACTCTTAGGAGTTGCGAATCTTGCCTCCAAATATGACTGCTCAAATCCTTGTAGTTTTTGAGTTATAACGTTTTTTTATGACTTTTCAAAAATTTTCAAAAAACTTGAGACTTAAAAAAATTTGAAAACTTTGAAAATCTCAATCCTGTAGTTGGAAACTGTGAGGTTACCCTCAGGAGTTGCGAATCTTGCCTCTGAATATGACTGCTCAAATCCTTGTAGTTTTCGAGATATGACGTTTTTTAGGTTATTTTCAAAAATTTTCAAAGAAATTAGATATAAAAAAATGGAAGTTGCCATCTCTAAAAAGAGGCTCTGTCAGAGTACTCTCAGGAGTTGTGATCTTTGCCAATATGACTGCTCAAAACCTTGTAGTTTTTCAGCTATGACGTTTTTTGTAATTTAAAAAAAAAATTCAGAAAACTAAGTTTATTTTTTTTTCTTAAAAATGGGAAGTTCCCAACTCTGTAGTGCGTCTGTCAGAGTATTCTCAGAGGTTGCCAACTCAATTTTTGTTAGTTTTCCAGATATACGACTTTTTTTATGTTTTCAAAAAAAATTTCCGAAAACTTGAATTAAATACTTTTTTATAAATTTGAAATCCCTATCCCTATAGTTGGGGGCTGCCAGAGTAACTTCGGGGGTTTCGAACTTTGCCTTTAAATATGGCTGCTCAATTTTTTTTTAGTTTTCGAGATGTGACGTTTTTTCTGGTTTTCAAAAAAGTATATCTTTAGAAAACTTAAGTTTGAAGTTTCTCAAAATTTGAATTTCCCAACGCTGTAGTTAGGTACTGTAAGAGTACTCTCAGGAGTTGCAAATCTTGCGTCCAAATGCGACTGCTCAATTGATTTTTGTTTCCGAGATTTGAAATTTCTTAGCTCATTTTACATTTTTTCAAAGAACTTAAGTATAACTTCACAAAGTTTTATGGTTTTTCAAAATTTTAATTAAAAAAACTTGAATAAAAAACTTTGCAAATTATGTACTTACGAACCCTGTAATTGGGTGTTGTAAGATTACACACAAAGGATGCAGAGCATATTTCCAAGATGTGTGGTTTTTGACAGTTGTTAAAAATTCGAAGCACCGGAGGTGCGTTACACTGTAGTCACTTTAATGTCTTCTAATTTTTCCTCTTTGATAATCAGATAATGGCAATAGTTTTTCTATTAACTTTTTTTCTTAATTATATTTCTGTGCCTATGAATGGTAACAATATTTTCAATTCAAGTAAATTGTTTTAGCTAAATTAAAAAACTACACTAATTTGCAGGGAAAAAAACTTTTTAGTGTATTTTAAACAATGGTCGGAACATTCTGTTCTACTTGCACTGTAACCGGCTATCCTTGTTATATTATGTATTCAAAAGCAAGTGTGATCTGGGTTGGGTAGTAGACTTTTTTCTGCAAGCTTTAGTATAATTATAATGAATTGACTACTTTCACTTCTTTATACAAGAAGGAGTTGTGCCGTGCCATAAAGAATGGTTAGGATGTTTCCATATTAAATTATAACCCACTTTTTTGCATTTTGTTTTATTTGGGTTTTCTTTCATGAAACGTGATTTTATAGCGATCGTCGCATGTTTTCATATGGGCCGAGTCACTTCAAATCGAATCGAAGGGTGTCCGTAGAATAAGTTTTCCTGACGGTGCATGCAGAAAACTTTTGTATTTGGATTTTTAAATTTTAATTCAAGCATTCATTTTGTTTCAGAGATACGCGCCCCAAGTGTTCGTGATGTTAAGACAACTCCTGTGGGTCTTGAGAATCTAGGGGCCACGTGCTACGTGAATTGTTTCCTACAACTCTGGTTCCACGATGTTGCACTGCGCAATCTGCTATTCCGACTCTCGGTGCTGGTTGACCGCAGAGGTAAAACAAACCATCATGCACAAAACAATGAAAATAATATAATGGTTGCCCTTGCGATATTTTTCGAGTAGTTTCTTTTTTTTCTAAAAACAATGATCACCCTTACGATAAGCAAAGGTTTTGCAACCGATTGCTTGACTGTTTCCCATGAATATCTTTGTTCTCAGGATGACTGCATTTGATGCTTATCTCCATCCATCAGTACTTGTGTCAACTAACAGAAAAAGTTTCTGACAGACTCTGATTTCAGTATATCAGTTTTTTTTGTTTATTATTTTTTTTTCATTTGACTTGAAAGGTTTTGGCTTAGCGGCTTGTATGTGAGTGTTTTAGGGGACTTGACTGATTTTTTGAGCTTGCAACGGTTGTGACCAGGGGCGGATTTAGGGGGGGGGGGCGGACGCCCCCCCCCCTCAGGGATTCGAACCCCTGCCAACCCAAAGGGTCCCCCCTTTGGTACTTTTTAAGAAATCCATTTTTGGCGGACCGACCCTAAAATTTTTCTAAAGGCGCCTTGGGCGCCAATATATACTAATTTTGAGGGGGAGCGCGCGCCAAAAAAAAGCCCTGTTTTTTCAAAAAATTGCCTGCGGCGCAGAAAATTTGGCCAAAACAGGGTCTTTTTACTGCTTTGTGAGAGCTCGGAATTTCAATCTGATCGACCTAAAAAAAAAGGTCGTCAAAATTTTCGAAAATTTTTTGAAAATCCGCCCCCCCCCCCTCGAGAAAATCCTAGATCCGCCCCTGGTTGTGATGTTTCGAAAATGGTGGTAAGCTCCGCTTCACCTCTGTTCCTTTGTTGAATTATGGGTTATAGAAATCTGGTCATTAACTGAAAATCTTCGTAAATTTTTCGTAAGATTTAAACTTTTTCTGTTATTTCAGAGGACGTGCTGAGCGTACTTGAGAATTGTTTCTCTGCTGGGAGTCACAAAGTGGACATTGTGGTCCAATTGCGCAAAATATTCGCAATGATGCTCTACACACTCAAGCCGACTATGGACCCGACACCATTCCTAGACTCACTCGGTAATGTGGCTTATTTTTTTTGGGGGGGGGGGGGGTACGGGGCTGTTAAGTTTATTGCGACACATCGAGTGCTAAAGTGTGACTGATTAAGCTGTTAGCTAAACAAAAATGCTCATGGAATCTCCCTCAAATGGTAGAAGCACTGAATGCCCGAAAGTTATGATGGTCAAACCATCCGATCTCAGTATTCCAGGGCATGCGAATGGCCGCCAAAATATTCTCTTAATGTGCAACAAAAGGAGGGTCAGTGCCAGTATTTTGCGTTATTAGGAATCAGCCTAGTGGACCAGCAGGATGCGAGTGAGTTCTGCCAGCTGCTCCTTTTCCAGACCCTGGAAGATCCAATTATGAAGTGTGTAGAGATGGTGGATCCGACATTTACCCATGGAACTCCTCAGGAGTGTACAGTTGGCAGCCAGCAAGCAGGTGAGCCGCCGACATCTAACTATTTCAGTTGTCTGAGATTGACTGGTAAACGATTGCACAGAGATCCCAGCTCCGCTAATGATTCGATAGTTGAAAGAAAAATAGCTTCCTTCATAAAAACGAGTTCCTGGGAACAATTTTGTTTCCGGCTCAGCTGGCGTCTACCCAAGAATTACCGGCTTAGTTTTTGCTCGATATTTTTTGCTATGTTTTTTCGTCTTATAAGAAGAAATTTATCGTGTTAGTGGCTTTCGTCTCTCAGTCTGTCCCCCAGGAGGCAATGTTATGTTTTTGTAGTATTGGTAGTGATGGGACACTCAGCTTTGACTCGGTAAAAAAAATTTCAATCACAAACAATTTTATATTTTTGTTTTCGAAAGTTGAAAAATATTTTGAAAAGTAGTTAGTTTTCCAGTTTCCTTGTTCATTTAGACTTTTTATACTAGATATTGGCCTTATTTTGATTTAATCGCTGAATTATTTTTCCAACTCTTTCTCACCCCACATTGTTCGTTCGATAGGTGAAACCTTTTTCTATGCCTGTGTGCAGGGGCGGATTTAGGGGGGGGGAGGCAGACGCCCTCCCCCCCCCCTCAGGGATTCGACCCCCTGCCGACCCAAAGGGTCTCCTAGATTGGCCCCTAGATCCTAGAGAAAGTCCTAGATCCGCCCCTGCCTGTGTGTTTCGGGGGAGGGGCTTACAATTTTCAAGTTTCAAACGGTTTCATTGCTCAAATTTTTCTTTTTTGTCGGCTAGCTTGACCTGCCATGTTTGAGTTGTATCGCAAGAGGGCGAACCTCCGCTTGGCCTATGTGTGCAAAGTATGGTGAAAGTTTTCAGAAGAATTCATTCAATCAGCATCAAAAACATGTGTACTACTATTTTCAGAACTCGAATTCAAATTTGGGAGGAAAATAGAGGCTGTGTTGAAGTTGAAAATACAGTTTTTTTTCGAAGGGATTATGGCAAAGAGTATCCGCTTTTAGCTTCAAATTTTGTTTTCTGTTCTCTAAGTAATCACTATTGGATCTCAATCAATCAAAGTTACCCCAGATTCCGGTTTTGCAAGTATTCAAAAATTCATCATCGGTCTGGTGAGTTTTCTGACTATTTTTTTTCTATTCATTTATGAGACAAATCGGTTTTGTTCTGCATTGCCTAGTAGAATTTGCGCACTGTTGAAACCATTTCATGGAAAATTTTAGTATTTGTCCATTAACTTCGCCTTTTTTATTTATTGACATGTAACATTTACCTCAAAATAAAGTAAAATCGGCTTTTCAGAAAATGTGAGGTTGATGTTTTAGGGCAATCATCGGCTGCCATCGGCAGCAATAGTGGCAATAGTAACTTCATGTGCAATCGATTCTACGGGTCTCTCAGAGAGGAACGCACATGCAACAGGTTGACATTGTTCTTCTTTTACTCTGTTTTTTAACGCTATCAATACTTTGATCAAAATAAACAAATCGCAGTCGGACTTAATATGCAGGGAATACAAACAAAATAAGGTTTTAAGACTATTTATGAACTTCATCCGATAAAATCATTACATTTTTGTAGCTCTAGTGTTTCCAATTTTTTCAAGTTATAATTTCAAATAATTTTTCCAACTTAATTTTTCAGAAATTTCTTTTGACTGCTATCTTTTTGTCCACTGAGTACATTGGGCTTTGTATATCTCAAGTGGTGCAAACTCAGCTTTGCCCCTGTTTCAAAATTATTTGTAGCGTTTTTTTGCCCATGTTTGCGAAGTGCTGCTCTATTCTGTTATTTGAACTTTGCTGTTATTTAATTCACATTTCCAAAGTACAAAACCATTTTGTCTAAATTTCTGATTTTTCTGTTTACGCACAGTTCTTATACAGTTTATAGTAATTAGGAACAATGAACGTAGTGAAGACTCTTATATAGGTCTTGCTGATTTTTTTTGTTTTGCTTTTTTTTTTCAGGAAAAACTCTTTAAATATTGATGCACTTAGGTATAATGCTTTTTTGAGTTCAGTCATCTGCCGAAAGTGACGTAAATAGCACTCTCCAGATGCGAACGTGGGAATGGCGCAAAAAAATGAACTATTTCTAGTTTCGAAAGTGCTATTTCTTTTTAAGATTTCCCAAAGGAATTAAAACTTTATTTATTGATCTAGCTTTCTTAAATTTGGTTCATGTTATCAAAAGAGCGCCAATCATGAGTTGTTCTAGAAGTTCAAAGAGCTTAAATTGTTTCGAATTTTCTCTTTGAATTTCGAAAGTTTTCCAGAAAGTCAGTTTTTTTAATGTTTACTTGCATTCATTGCACTTTTCCAATTTTCGATTGGCTATGTTTTTATCTCCTCGCCCAGAGTTGCTTCTCCAAGTTAGGAATGTCAATTGTGTTTTTTCAAGGTTTTTAGCTTCAGCCAAAAGAAATACAGCTGATTTTTGTCTGCGGGTAAAGATTGCGGGATTTAAAATCAATCCTTTTGCTCCGACTTTCGCAGAAAGTGACGGAATATTTTTGCTCGGGATGGTTTTTTTCTGCAGAGAAATTTCGATTTTTAACTAGCCGTTTTTGACATGGTTTTTTATTTTTATCAGAAATCTTTTGATGTCTTGAGCTTATATTGAAAAGATATTTTTTGTGATTGTTTTTCGTCAAAGTTTGAGGGCTTGAAAATTGAAAGTTTGAGGCCCATTTTGGGATAATTAACGCGAGAAATATTTCGTGCTACTAATGTGGCCTTCAATCAGGCTCAGAAATGGTTTGGTTTAAAATAAGAGGTATTTATCTTTTAAATTAGTATATTACTTTATGCTAAGTATATCGTTTTACTTTAAATAGTGTGTGGGGAGAATGTTTTTAAAAACAATCAAAATTAATTTTTTGAAAATTTCATCGATTTTTGAGTCAAGACAGCGGCCTTCATTTGTTGATTTTAGAAAATTTCTCCCCGTTACTTCTTTAAAATCTTTGAAAATAAAAATTTTCTGTGTCTATAATTGTCTAAAAAATCTCGCGCGAGCTGTCGTATGCTCTCTGGCTTGGGATGTAGACCGTCAACTGATGTCTCATCGGAATCTAATTGTTGTGGTTTTCACAAGCAGGATTCCGTGTGCTTCTGCTAGACGTCTAGAACATTTCTTCACCCGCTTTGTGGTAATATATTGTGTTATAGACGTCTGGAAGAAGCAAACGGAATCCCGTTTGTAAAAACAACAAAATTCCGATGGGACATATCAGTCGACGGCTCACATCCCATGCCAAAGAGCAAACGGCAGCTCGCGCTAAATTTAGAAAGGCATTTAGACAATTGTAGTTGTAAAAAAATTGTTGTTGCAACTTTTAAAAAACTAATAGGAAGAAGTTACGTTGTTTCAATAAATAAAGGCTGCTTTTGACTTTGTTTTTAAAACGAGTTTTTTGAAATTATTTTTAGCACAGAAGATTGCTTAAGATCTCTTGGCTATGCTGAAACCAAACCGTTTTTCGGAGGCCGCTTAAGGCACTGAAAGAATAAAAAAAGGGAAAAGAATATGGAAGCAGCGAGTGATGTTTACGAAGAATGTGCCGTCCGCTTCAGGCTGCAACAAGAGTCTCTTGAAAAAAAAAACGATTATTTTAACAAAGAGGCAAAACTATACATGACTGCAAATTTGGACACCTTCGAATCCAAAAGAGGGTGGAAAACCACTGGCTGACTGACTGCTATCAAAACAACCCAAGCTATAGGGCTGGAGATTCTTCATGCCAAAACACCGGCTGACCTAAATCTATTTAAGTCAACAAGAATGCAGTGTTCAAAAAATTTCAAAGTAATAGGCGATAAAAATCAGTCAGCTTCGAACAGTTTAAAGATCGTTGATTATTTGAAACCCTAAGCAATATTAGTCATCCTGTCACGAAAATACCCCATTTATTGAGCTTGTAAGTTGAAGCTGGGGTGCGTACAGTAAACCGGTGTGTCAGTAAATTACCAGATCAGTACACCGACTTACGTAATAATTACATCAATTGCAAAATGAAAGATTTTTAGAATAAATTTTCCCTGAACTAGAAGAATAAGGTTAAAACTACGAAACTCATGGGAAGAGCTATTTTATTTTTGCTATAATTTTGACAGCCAATCAGAGCTCAGTATTCAAAATCCGAAAGACGTAAGCGATTAATTCGGTCAGTAAAGTACAATTGGCTGAAAAATGTTGAGAATTTAGTCCTTGAAGCATGAGAATAACCCCCAACTAAGTGCATTGTTTTCCATGTCTAGATGTGGCAGTCTGACTGGCTCCGATTCTGTATTCACTCATTTGAGTCTGAACATCACAGAGTGCAGGAGTCTACAGGACTGCATGCAGATGTTCTTCCAGGAGGAACTGATGGACGGAAACAACCTCATTTACTGCGAGACGTAAGTACAAACAAGGCCATCATTCATCATGTAATTCTGCTATTTCGTTTAGATTGGGACATACTTGTAATATAGAACACCGCAGTGTTAAGAAATTCACTTGTGATATGATTTGACAAAGTAGGCGTTTTCTTGTTTTTGCGGAGAATTCGACACAAAATGCAAAAAAAAATTGTTTGAAAATCCACTGGATCCATCGCATCTCGAAAATCCTAGTCCTCCTTTTTCCTTATCATCAGAGGTGATTTCTGCGTACAAGTGTGATAGATGGGTCAGGTTAACTACGTTACAGATAAAGTTTTAGACAGACCGATGGACGCATTTTGAGCTAGTTATTTGCGGTATTTGCCTAAAATTAATGTAATTTGAGACCCCTCTCTCACTCTTGGTTTTTACCGGGACACCTCTATTTCACTTGTTCCGATTTCGGCAACATTGCCGACGCAGGCTACAACTTTTTTTTCTCTTCACAACGTGCTAAACGATGATTGAGGGCTGATAAAATAGACCAAAAGGGTCATCTGGTTCTCGACAGCGAGGTATTTCCATTTCTAAGATTTGGAGAATTTTTATGCAGGTATCTTTAGGAGTATCGACGGAAATGGCGTTATTCTTATTCTGCGTAGTTTCTACTATTTTTGAATGCAGTGTTAGAAAAAAATTTTATGTTTTTTTTTTCATTATTTGAAGTTGAATCGGGTCAATATGATAAACACCTCCAATTCCATTTGAGAAGCCGAACGCAGCAGTATCAAAAATACTCTTTCAAAACAATAAAACAACGCGTCTCGCTTTTGATTTTCCTCCAATATGAAAGACCTTTAGTGGTCATTGACTTGCTCTAGAGCATCTGTAAGCCTATGAGAACAAAAAAACTGAAGCAGCCATATACTAGAAATTTAGACCCTAGAACGATTCAATGCAGCCATGCAAACAACAATGACTTGCATGAACTGAAGCTTACGACGATAAATTCTAACAAGAAAAGCAGGTTACTGTTTAAGTAGTGCAGCAAGTTTCGACTACGCAAATGTTTAAAAATGAGAAGAAAAAAATTGAACGTTTTTCAGAACTTTATTATGATGTTTTCTAGACTTCTTTTACTTTTTGGTTAGTGAGAGGAAGCTCTGTTTTAGCTTTCCTGGTTTAAAAGCAACTAATGTTTTTGCCAATCACTACATCAAAGGATTTTGACTGCATGTTTGACCTAAACGTATAATTTTTTTTAAAATTTAGAGTGTTATTAGTTGTAAATAACAAACTGCTGTGTTGTGAGCAGATGTGGGATGAATGTTGCGAAGACGAGGAAGACGTCTATTGGGAGACTGCCTCGGGTGTTGTATGTGCATCTGATGCGGTTCCAATGGCAACTCACCGGTAGAGTCAAGTCGAAACAGAAGATAGACATCCCACTATACTACGACTTCCAACCATTCTTCGACTTGAAAGGTCGGTTGCTTTTGTACTATTTTATATGTTGATATTATTGTTCATGTTGTTTTTTGGTCGGGTAATCATTTCATGATCTCATTGTCTGAAATTTATCATAAGAGGTTCTGGAAATTCTGGAAATTTTTTTCGGGTAATCATTTCATGATCTTACTGTTCTTAATTTAGCATGAAAGGTTCTAGAAATTTTGAATTGTCTGTTTGCTATTTTCTAGTTGTACTAGATCGATTTTTTTTTGCGGTTTTATGTCAGCTCAAGATCATGGATATAATTTAAGTCTATGTACTCCAGCGGAAATTGTTTGATAGAATGACGCTATTTTATTAAGAATCAAAGAATCGATGAACGTAGTTCAGACTCTTATATAGGTCGTGATTATTTCTGTTTCGTTTTTTTTTCAGGAAAAGTCTAAAATTTGTTCAGGCTCAAATTTACTTTTTCGTGGTGTTCAGTTCCTTTCCTTTGTCAAAAAGAAAGCAAATTTCGCTATCAAACAGCAAAAGTGTAAAGGTCATGAAAAACATGATCGACTTCTTATTTCGAAAGTGGGTTTTAATATTCAGATTTCCCAGCGGCGTGAGGCGACATTTGATTGCAAGCGACGATTCGAAGCCTTTTTAAAAGGCGACAATTTGCACCAAGCGTCAATTTCGTAGCAAGCGAAAATTTGCAGCACGGTTAATTGCTAGTTGGTTGGATTACTAAACGACGCAAATTAAGGTTGTGGGGGATTAAAATCCAGCGAGCGCTCAAAATTCATAATTTAGCACCAGTTTTGAATTTTGAATTAAATACCAAATTGAAATGAATTAACAGTAAAGATAAGAGTAATTGAACGTTAGTAGCATCCTTAATATTTTCTTCTTGCAAATCATTACACTTACTGGTCCCAATATGCCTTTAAATTTTGTCATGAGTGAGCGAGGAAAACAGCCACTTGTCCACGATGGAGAAACTTTCAATCTAAACCGACACAACAAAACAACAAGTAAATCCAACTGGCGATGCCTAATGAAACCGTGTAAAACTTCCGTTGCCACCATCGCAGATGAAATAGTCAGCATAAAACATTCCATGCGAGGAAGAAGTAAAAAAAAAGAGTTAAATGCTCAAAAATTTTGAAACGTGCGCGAAATTAAACTTTCAAAGTTAAAAGACTTACCTAATCTTGTTTTGTCTTAGAACTTAAATTAGCATGACTGCAAGGCGTGCAATTCTTTGGGGGAAACTGGCCACACTCAGCGGAACAAAAACATAACCCCTTGAACAGGCTAGTTTTTTTAAGACCGGGGGTGTTTTTGGGGAGATCAAAATTTTTTTCTTGTCCTGTTGTCAAGCTGTAATTTAACAGGGTTACACGTGCCATCAAAGAGAAAAGAAAAACAACATTGGAACCTCTCAGCACCATTTACGTGGAAAATACTGGGGATTTTAGCCTCGAAACAGTTGTTAACTTGCCCAAGTACAAGTCACCCGCCAGAACTGTTCAGCGGCAAAGAGCAACTGAAAGAGCAAAAAAATTGATGTACCTTAGGAGTTAAGCAAAACCTTGAGGGGTGATATTTTTCTTCTTTTCGATTTGGGGTCGGATAACGAAGATCGACGATTACTTTTTTGCCAGCGACGAGAACTTATGTATTTTGGAAAGCAACACACTCTAGCATGCAGATGGGACATTTAAAGCATGTCCAGCGTTATTTTATCAAATTTTTACAATTTATGCAATGGTTAATCATCAAACTGTTCCATTATTTTATTTTATTCTTCAAAACAGAAGTGAAGAGCAATACATCCGGGCCTTCAGACAACTGAAAGAAATCAACCCAGGACTTGAGCTTTCACAGGTTGTGGCAGATTTTGAGAAGACTTCAATAAACGTCCTTCAAAGAAGGAAACCAATCCAGGATTTGAGCCTTCACAGGTTGTGGTAGATTTTGAGAAGGCTTCAATAAGCGTTCTTCAAAAGGTGTACAATAAAGTAACTATAAAAGATCTCTCGACTTTGAAATCGGCATGGCAGGTTCATTTTCTGAAGTGTCCGACAAATATGATGAGTCCTCCTTACTGGATTACTTCGATAAGTTTGAATTAACTTCGGACGAGGACGCAGGGGAGTTAGGGAATTCCCTATCTCACTCCGGAATCGGTTCGAAAACGGTCGAGGGATGGCATAGGGCCTTCCAGATGGGGATAGGGTGTGCCCACTCTACCATTCACAAATATATTTTTGTCCTGAGAAAAGAACGAAGTTTTTCGGAGACTAAATTGGTGAGAATAATTGCCGGGAAAAGTGCCGTCAAGGTGACAAAATACGAAAAAAGCCAAACCAGATTAGTTGAACTCCTTAAACATTATAGCAACAATAATATCCTCAAACAACTTGACAGCTTTCACCGCTACTAATTGTCGCTTGCTACGAGTCGTCGCGTGCTTCGACTAGTTGCGTTTTACAAATGCTACGAATGGTCGCTTGCGACGATTGTCGCCATGCCCCCAGTGGAATTTAAATAAATCAATTGATCCAGTTTTCGCAATTGGGTCAATTCTATCAAAAAACACCAATCATAAATTGTTCTTGAAATTCAAAGAGCTTTATAGACTTAATTTTTTTCTTGAAAATTTGAAAATATTTTTTTTTTTCAAAAAAACAAGTTGATTTCTTAGCGTTACTTTTTGCCTTGTATGGCCTGGCTATCAGGGTGCTATATTCTTAAACTATTATAACTTGAAACACTCCTCGCAAAGGAAGGCTTTTAAACTGACTGAAACTTGTTGCTCGTTGGATTCAGTTGGGTTTTTAACACAACGTCTTATCAGTCTCAAATTATTATCCAAATATACCGTGAAGAGGTTCCAGCTAGAAGCTGTTGAGGCGTTAAACGTGGGAGTTGAACATGCAAGTTTAAATGTATTTCATTATAATTAGGGGTCCATTCTGGCGCATTCTACAATGACACAAGGTTCCAATTGGCCGGAGCAGTGTTTCACATCGGAACCTCATCTACATGTGGACATTACATGGCCTCCATCAAAACCTCGAAGAAGGGACCTTGGAAGGATTTCAATGACACCAAGGTCAAAAACTCAACTCTAATAACATCATCAACTTCGAACAAATCTGATCCAGAATCATCATCAACCTCTGGTGCCAAAAAGTCATCGGCAAAAGTGCCAAAAGTGAATGCAGCTAATGGACCGAAACATGCGGCTAATACTACTGGCAGCCCTGAATTTTCATCATCAGACGCGTACGTTTTGGTCTATGTTGCAGACAACTATATTGACGAATATTTCTGCAGTTCAAAAAGTAGTGCTAATGGTAAAACCAGCAAAAAGACTGCCGATGGTGGTAATCGAGCGAGTCCTGTGGAAGTCAATAGCATGTTTAACCCCCCTGCAACTCCGAATGTAGATGAAATTAGTAAAGGGGGTTCTATGGGCGATAGTTTACTAGGACAAAACGTGTCGTCACTGCCGTTAGATTTGGATCGATATGTGAGTGAACAGAATAGTTTGTTCGTTGCTAAAATGCGTGAAGATGAGAATGCAGTGAAGAAGAAATCGGCCGATGCTTCGGATCAGGCGGTGTACCTGGCAGACTTCGCGTCCAGACTTCCCAGTTATAATCCTGATTCAGAAAACCACGCGTACGTGCCCAGTGAGTATAGTTAAATATAAATATGATAAATTAGATCTAAATTAAGCTATATCGGAAAACTAGGATCTTATTTGTTATTTTTGAGCACCTAGTTGAATAAACAGAGACTGAATTCAGAAAACTAGTTTGAAGTGCCGCCGTTTCAAATTATCTTGCGGCGATATAAGAAACGTCGTCGGTTTCGAGATTAATATTCCGCATTGAGTATGACTGACTGTTCCAAGTTGAGTTGTATAATGTTTATTCAGTGGGGTATTATTTGTATGTTCCTTTTCCAGTGCCTCTCATCCGGAGGTACTTTGAGGACCCAGGTGCTGCTCTGGTAGAGTATGGGTGTGTGGATTCGCAGTCGAAGTTCCTCTGCAGCCATGGGAGACTGTCACTGCAGAAACTGACTTCCAAGATACCTTTCAAACGCATATCAGCGTCAGGTTGGTGACATTGGCGGCTAATTTAGCTAGCATAACCCCGCAAGTGTCGACTCACAAAAAAGTTTTAGGTTTTTTCTAAAATAACCGACTCGCAAAATCACTCACGCTAGAGGTATTTAGTCCTGCAAGATATATTCGTTTTTTTTTGAGCGGTTATAGAATACTAGTAAAAAGGAGAGCTCGTTTTGCTCGCAAAATTTTTTGAATCAATTGATACTAGGTACCAATGCATAATCTTTGGTTTAGTAGCTCATAAATGGAGATTGATCAAAAAGCTAAACAAAAAAAAACGTTTTTTTTTTTAAACTCAAAAATGATCCCATTTTCAGTGCTTTTGAAATTTTAGTAACGTCGTGGTGGTTTTATTTGAAAACAAATTCGAATTAAATTAACCAATAGTGATGTCCATGTTAAATTCTAACCATCTAGTAGAAATGTACATCGAAGAAACAGCAAAAAACGCTGATTTCTAATTTTCCGCCTTTTTCCACAATTACTACCCCAAAAACAAAAATAAAAAATTACAACTGCAGTGTTTGACTTTCGGTGCGTCACAAGAAAAGAAATTTACGAAGAAATAAATAATTACTGCTAAATCAAAAAAGGTAAAAGTTAGGTTGCATCAAATTATAGACCAATTTGTGTGACAAACACGCTCTCAAAAAATTTCGAACGCTTGCTTTTGAAGCAAATTATGGAACAATGCTAGAAACGCAAGAAAAAGTACATGAATTTTTGAATGAAAAGGAATTTGTCCTTAATCTTGATAAAACAGAACTTATTTTCTTTGAGGAAAGAAATACTTTAGAAAAAATTATTTATAGAGAAGAAACAATTTCCGCAAAGGAATATGCCAGGAATCTTGGAGTGTTAGTGGACCGAAGTCTCACTTTTGCTGCTGAAGGGAACAAATATTCAAGCAAAATGGTTGTTGCAATTGAGTCAATATACTGTGTGCGTGCGACATATAGTACCAACCATTAAAAACAAGAGTTATTCTTTTCAGATCATTAGTTTTGTCACATCTTCAAGTTCAGCCTTTTTTCAATATTTACACGTGTCTCAAATTATCAGAGTAAAAAGACAAATTAACTGGGAAATCAACATTAGCCATCTCCGTAGAAAATACGATCATACACGATACTTAAGTCTAAAGTTTTACCTGCTGAACTATTCATTACCCAACATAGCTTGACTAGAATGTTCGATGTGGCAAAAAAATTTAATACAAATGAAGCTGATAGGCAGTTTATCTAGAACAGAGTACATATGAAACTAATTGAACGCACAAAACAAATAAAACAAAATGTGCGAAAATAGATAAAAATTATTAAAAAAAAACTATTAAAAATATAAAGTTACAACTGCATTGTTTGAGTTTCGTTGCGTAACAAAAAAAAAGAAACTTAAGAAGAAATAGATAAATTACTGTTAAATCAAAAGAGGTAAAAGTCAGGTTGCATCAAATTATAGGCCAATTTGTTTGACAAACACGCTCTCAAAAAATTTTGAATGCTTGCTTTTGAAGCAAATTATGGAATAATGCTAGAAACGCTAGAAAAACTGCATGAATATTTGATTGAAAATGAATTTGTCCTTAATGTTAATAAAACAGAACTTATTTTCTTTGGGGAAGGAAATATAAAGAAAAAATTATTCATTTATAGAGAAGAAACAAATTCCGCAAAGGAACTTGCCAGGTCTCTTGGGGTGTTAGTGGACCAAAATCTCACTTTTGCAGCTGAATGGAACAAATGTTTAAACAAAATGGCTGTTAGAATTAGGTCATTATGATGTGTGCGACATACGGTACCATTAGAAACAAGAGTTATTCTTTTCAGATCATTAGTTTTGTCACATTTATCTTTTAATTTAGCTTTTTTTGTCAGCAAATTTTGCCCATGTTTCAAATTAAATGAGTAAAGAGACAAATTAACTGGGAAATCAAATTTTGCTATCTCCGTAGAAAATACGATCATACACGATAGTAAAGTCTAGAGTTTTACCAACCGAAGTGTTCATTACCCAACATAGCTTGACTAGAATGCTCGATGTGGCTAAAAATTTCAAGACAAATGAAGCTGATAAGCAGTTTATCTATAACAGAGTACCTATTAAACTAAATGAACGCATAAAACAAGTAAATTAAAATCTGCAAAAATGGAAAAAAGTTATTTATTTTTAGTCATTCATCTTAGACAACTGTTATTAATTATCTAAAACTCTATGCTTTCGTGTTTTCTCTCAGTTTACCACCCAGATTGGGGGGATCGGTAGTAAACAATAAACTGGTTTGAATATTTTCAGGATTTCAGACTAATTTACACAAAATTTGGTGAATTTACACGCTTTTAGTTGACATCTCAATTCAATTTGGCTACTCTTTCTACGCTACAATTCAAATTATTACTTTTTCTTTATTTTTCTTGAATTATGGTGGTCGGAACTGTGCTATTTACGCAGCAGTCGGCTATCCTTACTGTTTATATGAGCCTGAATTAATTGTTTTTCAGCTGCTATGACCTTGAAAAACAGTGGCTTTAGTCTGTTCTGGAAAAATAACATCTGTCGTGACTGTGTGCAAGAGGCAGTTGAATGCTACGTGTTCGAGGAGCGACTTAAAACTGAGTGGAAATGTATGTTAAAATATACGAACAATTCTACTCTCACAAACAACGTTGAACTTGTAAGATATCTGTCAACTGCGGCCAAAGCAACAACACATGTGCAAGTGGATCTGAAACTTAAACCGAATGGAGTGTTCCAAATTGAGAATGTAATTGACAGAGGAGTCAATAATGGGACTGGAAGTATATCTGGCAAGCAGATAAATGAGCCGATGGATGTATCGGACGAAATCAGAGTAGTAGGGAATGAAAATGAACACGCGGGAAGAAGTGCCGATTGTTTTGTGGTGAATCGGAAGCTACTGAAGGAGTGGAGGAAAATAAGAAAGAATGCAATAGCTCCACAACACGTAAGTTGATCATCCATCGTAAATTAGTTTCATCTGACTTGTTTGACGACTGAGTAGTTTAACATTTTCAGGTCGTGTTTTTGTGCGTTTTTAGGGTGTTCACGCTGAAATAGGTTGTTCACGCTAAAGTTTGATGTTTCTGCTCAAATTAGAGTTTGTGCGGTTTGGCTTTTTTGGCACGTTGAGCTTTCGCGATTTTCACCACACATCTTTTAACGCTTTTCCGATTTCCCTATTTGATTTTTCCTGAAATCTGATATCATGAAAGCTATTTGAAACTACAATAACTGGTTTTAGGTAAACACCCTCAATTTGAATTATCCAGCGCAGCGTGTCGTTTCTTTCTGATTGGCTGAAAATTGTAACTTAGAACCTATCAACCAACATACTCCCCCTAATAAGCTTTTTGGTTGACGTTGTTAGCTTGGTCAATTTTATTAGGATTATACAGTTCTGATTTAAATTAACCGGACAAAACGCGTTAAACTTGAAATTTAAAACGCATTTTTCTCAAATTGGGTTGAGTTTAGGTGAAAACTTATGAAGACAAAACTTGCTTAAAATTTCACCAGAAGTAATTTGGTGTAATTTATTTTTAGATATTCGGGCCCGAAATTTTAACCCAAAAATGGATCATTTTGGCTTTTCTTAGTTAATCAAAAATTACGCCGGAAACACCCAGTCGATCACAGACATAATTATATCAAAGTGAGCCCCTTACGTAGCCATACAAACATTATGGAGGGTATTTTCTCCAAAAAAATGAAGATTATTTAAAAATTGTTTTTAAATAAAAAGTTGGTATTTTATATAGTAAAAACGACCTTTTTTATCTATCAAACAAAAATAAATTAACTTATACATTATTTTGGAGATTTTACCCTTCTTAAAGTTTGTTGGGCTACGTAAGGGGCTCACTTTGATATAATTATGTCTGTGATCGACTGGATTTTTTCGGCGTAATTTTTGATTTACTAAGAAAAGCCAAAATGATCTATTTTTGGGTTAAAATTTCGGGCCCGAATATCTCAAAATAAAATACTTCTGGTGAAATTTTAAGCAAGTTTTGTCTTCATAAGTTTTCACCTAAACTCAACCCAATTTGAAAAAAAACGGGTTTTAAATTTCAAGTTTAACGCGTTTTGTCCGGTTAATTTAAATCAGCACTGTATTAAGAGAACTGAACGTAGTTTCGCGGTTTGACTTATGATGTCTTTTTAAGTTCAGTTCATTTCCTTTGTTGAAAGGAAGTCAACCTCCTCTATCGAACAGCGAAAGTGTAAAGGTCACGAAAATCGTGATCGACTTCTAGTTTCGAAAGTTGTATTTATTTCGCAGATTTTCCAGCGAAATATTATATTTTATTTATTGATCCAGTTTTCTCAAATTGGGTTAATTTTATCAAAAAAGTGCCAGTCATAAATTTTGTCAGAAATTAAAGAGCGTCTAATCAAAGAGCATCTTTAAAGGCATCTTTTTTTCTTCGAAATTCCGAAGTTGAGATTTAAAAAATATTAAGTCAATGTTGTTTTTTTTTGCGTTCATTGACTCTTTTCCAACTGCCTGTTGGCAATGTTTGAGTTTTGATTTATTTCAAATTCACTTCATTTCCTTTGCTAAAAGGAAGGCAAACTCCTCTATCGAACAACAAAAATGTATGATTCGCGAAAAACGTGATCGACTTCTACTTTCGAAAATGGAATTGAATTATCAGCTTAACCACCCAATATATAAATTTAAACCTTTTGATCCAGTTTTCTCAATTTGGGGTAATTTATCGAAAAAGGGTCAGCATAAGTTGAAATGGCTTTAAGGGCATACAGTTTTTCCATAAGTTCGCAAGTTCAAGTTTTCTCAAAAATCAAGTTTTTTTTTTTTGTTGCCTTGCATTCATTACTCTTTTCTAACTGTCAGTGTTTGCTTTGGCAAGTTTAGTGATCATGGTCAAAATCCGAATTGGCTATAATAGTCCACTCCGCCTCGAAATTGGATCAATCGGTTCGAAAACGTACCAATCACAAAATTTTGTGCTTGATAGATTCATTATCAGACGTTTTCAAATTTTTGGCTATTCTTTGGCTCTTTTAGGGTGTTATAACTTAAAACTTTCTAGAGTGTAGCCGCAAAGTTAGATGCTGACGAGAGTAACGGGGGTGATCTTGTGCACCAATCAAGTAGCCCAACTGACGATCCGGGATCCGAGGGGTCGACGGAGGCACCAGTGACTAGTCTAACTGAGGAACTTATTTGCAATCATCAGAAAATAAACCCAGATGAAAGAAGTTGGGCTTTGATTGGGTCTGATGGCATGCAGTATGTGCTGAAATATTTCCCCAGAACTGAAAAAATTTGTCCTCCAGGTGGGTGAATTTCTGAAATTGACTACAAAAACCACCTTGTCATCGATTTTAAGGCAATTTTTAACGAAAAACGCTATTTCACTAATTTAATTAAGGCTAGCTCTTTTCGCGATTGTTATTGAAAATCGATGGCGCGCTAATTTTAATCTTTTTTCAGTGAAATTGAATTTCCGACTTGTTGCATGAAGTTATACAATATGTCCTTTCTTTTGATACCTTTATTTTGGTAGTATTAGGTACCTTTTTTTTGGCAGCCTAGTGTTTGAATACCAGTTCTTGAATACGGTTCTATTTACCACAGCAGCCTGATAGCGTAGTGTAATATTACGAATCCACTTCTAATACCCAGCTGGTAATCAATTCTGATAATCTGCGCTGAGCAATGCGGCTAAAGAGAGTTTCTAAAGGACTATGATTCGATACATCTTTCGACCCTATCTGACATTTATTTGTGGTATCGGATCCATTAAGCAATCTCCCAACCCCCCCCCCCTCCAGTAATGACCGATTGAGCTTTGATATTGTAAATTTTGGCGTTCGACATCGTTGGAGAATCTGTTCGAAACTGACTAGGACCTTTTTTTTTATCAAACGGTAATTGTTACTGTTTTTAAAGACTCTTAGTTACCACATCTAAGATTCGTATTTTTTTTACTTTAAACAATTTTCTCTGTAGTTGCTTTAAGTACCTCGTTTCCAATTCTCTGCTGGCTGTTTTAAAATTGAAATGTTTTGCTTGGCCTGTTTGCCTAGCGAGTTCTTATTTGATAAAACAAGTATTATGAAAATGTATGGGATTGCGTTTTTTGAGATGCGTTGGAAAATTTCTTTTTTTTTTCAAATTTTTTATTTTTTTTCGCACTATTTTTTCATTATCAAAAACATAGTGATAATTGGAAAGACCGCCTACTCCTTTGTGTGCCTGACCCCTTAGTTTCTTTTAACCCTTTTTGTCTACAGTTTTCGAAAAAGTCAGCAGCATACTCAGGATGTGACCTAATTTTTCCAGTGCTCGGTTTTTGATTTTTGTATGCTCTCGATGCCTAGCTCATTATTAATTGTTACGTTATTGACATTGTTATCCCGCAGCTTCAATAGATTGCCAATGTTTCCATTGATCCATACAAAGCGGTAGCATCGATCTGCTATACTTTGGGGTTTGTTAGTGTCTGTTGGTGACCAGGGTATCACTTTTGATTCGATTAGTATTTATGCCTAGACGACGCCCTGTACAATTAAAGCTTTTGTTCATTTTGAAAGGGTTGATCTCCGTAGCCATTTCTTTGATTGAAACCAAGCCTAGCAGCCTCTTTGGCTCTTCTCCTGCACGAAGGGAGAAGCGTGGAACCAATAAAAAATGGAGGGAGAGCTAAAGAAAAGTCAGATGGGAAAATAGGATCCGGGTGTGGATTATTCAACCACATTGGGATAAAAAGATTAGAGGCACTGAACGAGCTGTGTAGTTCTGAGCATGAGATTCCACTTCGAATCCAACCCAGGTCGGAGTGATTCATGGCAGAGCACGGTATGCATCTAGAGATTGACCAAAAGGGAGTGTAATGTCAAATGTAACGTTTGACGAAGTTGGACACACTGGAACTGCATTGACCTAGGCAAGCAAGGTCGTTGGAATAAATCGTTAAAAAGCAACTGCTGCGCGACCAGAAGTTTCGCTTCTGAGAAATCCAGGTTTCAACGAAAGAAACGTAGAAAACGCGAACGCAATGCCAGGAGAAAGCGATGCTAGAAAAGGCGGGACGCAAAATGGACAGAAGGAGCTTTAATTCTGGAAAAATAGAAGAAGACGATCAATTGAACATTAAACACAAAACGCGCAAGAGTCAGCTTACCGAGGAGAAATTGATTCACAGAGATCCCTCGCTTCACTTTAATGAGCCAAACTTAAATCGTCATGCTATGGAATTCTCGTCCATAGGAAGCGAAGTGGCATATTCCTGAGGGATTGTTGGATTAATAACTGAAGTGAACAAGGGTATAAGAGAGAATGTGGAAACCGTTTGTCAGACTTAGAGTTCAATGAATGCCAGGAGGTACTTTTGTCATTGTTGAGAACCAGTGTCTCTGATGCGACTTTATTTCATCGATAAACAACACCGGCAGAATGATGGACCAAATACAGGACCTATGCAAATAAAAAAACCAATGATGGCGGAAATGACCACATAAACTGGTGCCACGCTAACTGTTTGTGCTGAATGAACACTTTTTTGGGGAGGTTGAAAGGGGAATTTGGAAGAACACAAACACTGTTTTATGGTATGAGCTGAATAGCTTTTGTGTCCGCCAGGAGGAAGATTGGAGTCGGGCCGTGAGACGAGTGAGGACGAGGAACGACAACGGAAGCTTATTGGACCACCTCCCGAATTGCATGACCTTAAACCATAAACCAGCAAAAACATGACCGATGCCTCTTAAAACCCACCGGTAAACTGAGAGAACCTGAGAAACGAAAGGATCCTGAGAGCTTCGAGAGGAAATAGACAAAAGGAACTTAGACTGGAGAAACAAGACCAACTGGCAAAATGTGATACAAGTTTTTGTCGAGGAGGGCAAACAGGTGTGCGGGGTCAAACTAAAAAACACTCTAAACTCATGGGTGGAGAAGCACATCAAGGAAATTAAAATAGAATGTATCACATCTGACATCCAAAGTTCAAGAGTCTCAGTGCCCTAACGAGGTGCAAGTCGTAACAGTTGACAGGAGGTACGATTGGAAGACTTTTTCAAAGATGCGAAAGAATGCCGCGAGCAGAATTGTTGGTTGCATATAGTGGAGAAAGAAAAGACGCAGAGTGCCAAGGGAACACCTGGAAATTAAGCCGAATGGTGGAAAAGATAGGAATAAAAGAAAAGAACTCAATAGAAGAAGATTTTTTTTTAGTCCAGAGGAATATCGAGAAACTTTCATGATGGTTTACGAAATAAAAGACCGCAGAAAATTTTATAATTGTCGATTTGAACGACGACAGGATGAATTAGCAATAGCAGCCTTACTGACCAAAACGAAAAAAGTAGTTGTAAACGAAGAAGAATTGAAAAACTAAGCTTGCCGATATCGCGCGAAGAAATGGGTAGAGAGCTTGACCTCATTAAGGACAGCACACCTGGGACCGATGGTACTGGAATGACAGCACTAAAAGTAGCATCGGATGGCGTGTAGGATTTTGTGTACGACTGCATAATTGAAACCCTCAACACTAGCCCAGACTAGTGGCTAAAAGAGGCGAAAGAAGTTTGGATCATCTGCCTACACAAGAAAGGCCTTAGCAACAACCTTAACATTTATAGAGGAGTATGTCTACTGCCTCTTGTCAATAGCATGCATCATTGCAAGATTTTTGCATCCATGCTCAGGATCTGGGCAGAAAAATAAGAGGTGACGGAAGAGACTCAAAACGGTTTCTCGGAAAGGAAACTTCACTGCTGATGTTACACAAGTTATTACCGAATTCAGGGGCGGATCTAAGATTTTCTCGAGGTGGGGGGGGGGGGGGGTGGGGGGAGGCGTTTTTAGGCACTTTTTTAAAACTTTTTGACCAAAAAATCGTGTTTTTTCGGCGCGCGCTCCCACCCCCCCATCCCAAAATCAGTATTAGCTCCCCCCCCCAAAGGCGCCTTTTTAGGGGTCCGTCAGCCGTCAAACATTTAGGGGTCCGTCAGCCAAAAATGGTTATCTCAAAATAGTTCAAAGGGGGGACCCTTTGGGTCGGCGGGGTGTCGAATCCCTGAGGGGGGGGGGGGGGGGCGTGCGCCCCCCTCCCCTAAGTCCGCTACTGCCCGAATTGAAGATGTCAGAAAGATTCTCGGTCGAAATGGAGCGAGCTTTTGAAAAGAGCTGGTGGTGTTTTTTGGCTACAACAAACCGTACCGAAACCCAGGATTCAATAAAGAACTTCTCTGGAGCATTCTCGAGAGAATACAGCTGCGGTTTTGTAACATACTCAAAAGACTAAATTTTTTCCAACGCAATTTCGAGTGAAGTGTTGCATATCACAAAAATACTCCGGTCTAAGAACTGACCGACCCAATAAAGTAAGTTACAGAACGTCAATTGCCAAACGTTTTAAAGACAACGAAGTTTCTATCACTCTCTATCTTGTAAGTGGTGGTTTAAGACGAGAGTTTAAGACAACGAATTTTCTATCCCTCTCTATCTTGTAAGTGGTGGTTTTTCTCTCGACCTCTTCTCTTCATTGGTTGGTTCGATCTGTAATATTTTATTTCTTGTAATCAATCATTTATTTTAGAAGGGAAGCAAAAGTAGCATAGAAAAGTCCTGCCATCAGATATAGAAATTAATCGGTATCGGTAGAAACACGACTGAAAGGACGATGATTCGCTACATCTTTCGACCCTATCTAACATTTATTTGTGGTATCTGGTCAATTGAGCAATCTCCTCCCCCCTTTAGCAACGACCTAAATAACTAAAGAGGAGCATGTCTGCTGCCTCAAGTCAGTAACATCATTGCAAGGTTTTTGCATTTATGCTCAGGATCTGGGCAGAAAAACAAAAGGTGGCGGAAGAGACTCAAAACGGTTTTTCGATAAGGAAAATTGACCGCTGATGTTACACAAGTTTTTATCTGAATCGAAGATGTCAGACAGATTTTGGGACGAAATGGGGACGAACTTTTAAAAAGACTTGATGGTGCTTTTTTGGCCACAACAAAACGTACCGAAACCCAAAATTCATTGAACAACTTCTCTGGAGCATTCTAGAGAACCTGATGATTTCAGCTGCGGTTTTGAACATACTGAAAATACTAAGTTTTTTTTCCTACGCAATTTCGATTAAAGTGTTGCATATCACAAAAATACCTCGGTATAACAATTGACCGACTCAATAAAGTAAGTTAATAGAACGTTAATTGCCAAAAGTTTCAAAGACAATGAATTTTTTACCACTATATTTCAAGTGGTGGTTTTTTTCTCGACCTCTTCTCTTCATTGGTTGATTCGATCTGGAATATTTCTTGTAATCATTTATTTATTTTTAATTTGAGTAGCGCGGGGAGGCAAAAGTAGCATACAAAAGTTCTACCATCAGATATCAAAAATTATCGGTATCGATAGAATCACGACTGAGAACACTATGATTCGATGCATCTTTCGACCCTATCTGACATTTATTTGTAGTATCGGTTCAATTGAGCAATCTCCCAACCCTCAGTAATGACCGATTAAGCTATCTCCCCCAAGCAAAAATGGTGAAACTTTACAAAAAGACGTCAGCAAACGCAAGTAGATGGTTCATGTGATCGTAGCAAGCAATCAATTGACCGACTGAAGTTAATTTTATATGAGTGTCGAAAAAAAATTTGAAAAAGAAAATAATCGAATTTGGTATAAACATTTTTTTGCGAATTTTTGTTTTGGCGACCATTGCCTCGTTGAGGAAAGCGACTTACCAGGGTTGATGCTCTAGTTTTGTATCAGAATATCAAACTTTGTTCTCCGCTGCACCTTAATATATCACGCAATAAATTTTTCCTCCTTTGAGGACAGAAAAGAAAAAATTCACTTTATATGCCTCAGCTTCATTGATTCTTTTTCACTCTGATTAATATTTTTGAGCTTGGATATTGTAATTTTTGGCGTTCCACATTCGTTGGAGAATCTGTTTTATAATTTCATATCATTTAAACTATTTTCAAGTGGTTATAAACATGTCTCAAGTACCTATTGAGCTTTATCCCCCCCCCTCCTCCCGAGCGAGAAGGGGGGAGGGAGATTGCTCAATTGATCTGTGGTTTTTGATTTTTTTTGTGTAAAAATTAAACTCTCTTGAAGCCTAAGTGTCCCATGGCGTCCGGAACAATAATTTAATTCTCGTGTTAACAATTATGCACTTATGAAAAAACGTATTAGACATGAAATAAAAAAACTCTTCCGACCGCGAAGCGTGCAGACTCAAGCACCAGGCGTGTTTTTCCACAAAAAAAATCAGATACCGCAAATGAAAGTCAGATATAAAAAAATTAATTCATTCTTGTTGTTCCGACTTTCGATACGAAAGTAACGGAATATTTGTGCTCGGGTGGGTTTTTTTTTCTTCAGACAAATTTCGACTTTTTAACATACCATTTTTGACAGAATTTTTTTTATCATTCAAAAGGTATTGTTGTCCTGAGCTTAAATTTGAAAAGATTTTTCACCTGTGATCATTTTTCGTAAAGTTTTTCACCTGAAACATTGCCATTTTGGCGAATTTGGGACAATTAACGCGCGATATTGGTTCCAAATTGGTTGAAAGAAGCTTATTTGCCATGAATGATTTGTTACAAGGAGCGAAATCTATTCTTTTGTAGTTTAAATGGCGTGTGGGGGGATGATTTTCATGGATTTAGAATTTTTTTTCATTTTTTTAAAATTTAATTTGTTAATGATATTTATGTTATTACTGCTCCATAAACTTTAAAAGGCAGTCGGAACATTCAGGGCTTCGCCCTGATACGAGCAGTCTTGTTCTCTTATGTGCTTAAGTATTGTGCTTCTAGGTGTAAAAGTTTGTGGGGGTTTCGGTGGATTTGGAGACGTCGATGTTGATATGGTGCCGTGGGAGATCTGTGCAGAGTGCCGACATGTAGCGAGGCAAGAAGAAGATTTAACAGAGGTGGCTAGAATGCGACTAAAACCATATCAAAATAGTAAGTGTTGCCTATCACAAAAACAACCCCGTCTTAAAGTTGACAGGGCCAAGTTACTACAAGACTAGTAATTGACAAGTGTTTTGAAGTTTGGGTTAAAAACCTGGGCGTTTAAGGCTATGTTTTGCCAAACGCAAAATTAATCTGAAGCCTTTAGGAAGGGATTCAGCGACAAATTTATTACGCTTACGAATAGCTTTCAAATTAGAACCTAGTTTTTTTTCTGGCTATCTATCATTTCTAATAGAACATTGAATAATTGCCTGACGAATCCTTGCCTGATATTGCATCAAGAAATAATAATCGAGACACGCAGTGTCGAGGTATGAATAAATTTCGAAATACATTATAAGTTGTCGCTTATCTGGTATGAAACTCATTCTTGTAATTAAAAATGTAGTTGATAAGCAATAGCTATATATAGCATCGAGATTGTAAGCAAATCGAGAACAAATCAATCACTGTTGAGATGTGAATCAAATTCGAGATACACTACAAGCAGTTGCTTATCTGGTATGAAACACATTCTAACAAAACACCCATTTCAAAAAAAATCCAACAAAACATTCATTTCAAAAATTTTTGACGCTAGCACGTACACTAGTGGACAAAATTAAACCCAAATTCAGGTTTTTGTTCTCTAAAAAGCCTAATTTTAAGGACAATTTTTGACAAAATTTTGTTAGAATTTTAGCAAATGTTGCCGCAAATGATCTAAAATACCCTCTCTTTTGATTTGAAGCACTAATCCTCTGTTTCCGGTTCTAAAAAAGCCAGTTTTTAACCTTGGTAATTGGTTTTTCTAACAGTGTGAGATTGATCAACTTTTTCTATTCCGCTTATTCAAAAAAAGTTTGCATTCCGCTAAATTTTTTATTACGAATTGTAATAACTGGCATTTTCAGACCTGAAATAAACTGGTTAGTGCTTCAAATAAAAAATTGAGGCTTTCAGAGAGGTTAGTTCAGATTTTTTGATGTAAAGTCAGTTGATGCAAGACGTTTGGTAAATTCTAAGTAAATATTGTTCAAATTTGTTCTTTAATTAAGGCATTTTAGAGAAAAAACATAAATTTTTGTTTAATTTTTAACACAAGTGTAGGTTTCAACTTTTAATTCTTTTTGTTTGATTTTGCTAGGAAAGACATTGCATTTTTGTTTCAAATATTGCACTAATAGTTTTTGAGTTATGGCACGGAAACATACTGCACACGTGTATTTTCCTAGAACAAAACGCCCACATTCGAACGCGTGATTTTCACTTTTACGTTCTACTTGTAGGGACGAAATTATCCTCCTGCGAACTTTTTTTAAATAGTTCGAAATAACTTAACAATTTGGGTTTTGATTACTAATTGCGGGTAGGATGTCCGGATGAACGTCTGCAAGCAAGAATTTGACTTAGCAGCGAATCAATTAAGGCTTTTATCGAAGTTTGAGGAGTAGTCAATCATAGATATTTTTGGGATTGGTCAAATTTTTTGGGAGTTTTTTTTTCATCTTTTCCAAACATGCTCAATAGGGGTTAAATCCGGTAAACCGGGAGACCAGGTTAGAACGTTGCATCATTTTCTTCGCAAGTATTGTTCATTTGGTCCGGCAGTATGAGAATTTTCATTATTTTTGAAAAATCGAAATTTCGGGTATAGATGGCACTGCTTCCGGGTCTCAAAACTTCATTCTTATACCGTTCGCTGTTCAGATTTCAATGAATGAGGACACTTCGTTAAAAAATTTTCAGTGATATCATCTCATTTTTTCCCAGCAATCAATTTGCATTGCGTTCCATTTTTGATATCGGGTTTTTGGTAATTGATGAATTTTTATCCGACCCTCATGGTCATAGAGGCATTAGTGACTTTTATCGCTATGAAGAACATCTTTCTATTCTCTATTCCAGCGTAAAGTTTTTTAAAAATCTTGTTGTTTTTTAAGTACCTAAAACACCGAAATCCGTTTTTCCTAATAACTGTTCCTAGGATTATCCCAAGAAATTCCATTTTAGACTGCCAATTTACCTTTTTTCGCGATCTGTGGTTTTTTTTTGTGACGCTCCCTCTCTGGTCTGTCTGCAACAGTGCCAGCTAGAATAAATATTTTTTGTCAAATTTTGAACGATTCATTTTTGACAACGAATCTTTCCTTTCATTTATTTTTTATTGTCAAGATGGTAACGAACCATTTTCAAAACAAAATGACTAAAAAACTGAATAAACGAAATTATTTGTTCAAAAATCCTGCAGCGCATTACCAAATTATCATTTCAGCTGTAATTTAAAATTTTTTGTAAAAATCAGGCTTGTGGTTAATTTGTCCACTAAGTAGTAAGATTTTGCGCTTGTTTTCAAATAATGCACCATGGTTCAAATATTGCTTCAAATGTGAACCGAAGTTACCGCTAATCTAGGGGTTTTTCTAAATTGCTTTTAAAGGATCATTTTGGACAACATTTACTGGGATTTTCCAAAAAAAATTTCCATGTACCAAGACCAAATAATCAGAGCTAAGGTTTCTTAAATTATTGATTTTTCTTTCAACGACTTTCCATTTTTTCCGGTTTTGAACATACCAGTTTTCGTCAAATTCACTAGAATTTTCAAAACGCGTAAAGATGTACTAAATACCTGATTTCAGTTGAGATCTGAAACGGAAGATTTCATTTTTATCGCTTAGAAAATTTCACATTGCATCAAAAATTTGTTTTTCCTCGCCTATTAAGAAAGCCTTCTCTCCGCTGCAGAACTTTTTTCCACAGGCGGAATCGCCTATTCTCAAGGTTGTTTTCGGACAAAATTCACAGCAAGATTAAACAAAAGTTTTTTAATAGACCGCATGTAATTATTTAGAGCTACACCTTTCAAATCTTTGAATTTTGCCTTAAAGGACTTAGTGCAGATGGTTAAAACTGGCATTCTCAGGCCCGGAAAAACTGCTAAGTTTAGCTTCGGAAAGAATTTTTTCTCGAATAAGAGAAAACAATTTTCTCACGTGATGTGAAACATTCTATCGATAAAATTGAACTTTTCCGCTTCAGATCCTTACCAAACTCAGATGTTTGGTACATTTTTACGCGTTTTGAAAAATCTAGTGCATGTGACAAAAATTGGTATTTTCAGACACGGAAAAAATTGTAAGTCCTTGAAAGAAAAAATGAATAATTTGATGGAGGGTAGCTCTCATCATTTCCTCTTGGTCCTTGAAAAATTATTGTTCAAACTCCCAGTGAGTGTTGTCCAAAAGGATCCTTGATTAGAGGCAATTTACAGAGTAAAAAGTTGAATTTGCGTTTATATTTGTCCTTTAGTGTATTAAACGTGCTCTAAGGTTACATTAGATTTTGATAAGTATGTATGCTTAGTGGGAGACGCAAAAACTTCCTTAACCTACAAGGTGATTTTGTTTTGCAGAATTTTTCAGTTTCTGTAATCGGGCGTCTCCCGAAATTTTGCAGGCTGGTTGGAGCATGATAATTTTTTTCGCTGAATGCTAATTTAACTTTGACAATTGTTTTTTCAAGACATTTTTTTGAAATTGAAATTCATTCGAAACAAGCTTGTAAATTTTTCATAATTCTTAATGAAGATACTTATATTGGCCGTGTTGAGTTTTTGTGTTTTTAGGAAAAATTTAAAACTCAACAACGCTCAAAATTGGGTTTTGCGATGTCGGCTTTTTGGTTTCTTTTTGAGCTCAGTTCATTTTCATTCGTTGATAAGGCAACCTATGCTCTTGAATTATGTAAGTTCTAGTGGCGCGAAAAAAAAGCGAGTAACTTCTTTTCTAATCGGTCCAATCAATTGGGGTTTTTTGGCAAGGCTCTAACGAACCATTTCCATTGTTAATTTTAAAAAAACTGAACAAACAATTTTATTGCTTGTGCGACTCATGACCAAACTTTTATATCAGCTCTAAGTTTGAAAATAGCTGGAAATTGTTTAATTTTCACCAGTGTAGGTGAGATTTTGCGGTTTTTTAAATTATTGCACTAGTGGTTCAAATATAGCTTTAGTTTTTAAAACTTGCATGGGAGTGTTGTATATATTAACAATTTCTGTCAACCTCAATTTGTGGAATGCTCAAATTAAACTACTAGTTGCTTCATTTGTGAACAAATTTAAACGCAAATTTAATTTTTTTCTATGCTGCGTTCAATTAAGAATCATTTAGAACAACATTCCTTGGGGTTTTCAACAAAATTTTTTCATGTACCTTCAGAGCAAATGATCACAGCTACCCTCCATAAATATTTTTCGTTTTTTCTTTCAAGAAGTTTTTTTCCGGGTTTGAAATTACCAGTTTTCTCCTGTTGAACTAGGTTTTTCAAAACGCGTGAAATTGTAGGAAACATCAAAGTTTAGTAAAGTTTTCAGACTGAAGAATTCAATTTTATTGCTTGAGAAATTTCAAATCGCATCAAAAAAAAATTTCCTTGCCTATTCAAGAAAGTCGTCTCCCCAAAGCAAAACTTATTGTAAATGGTGAAAACGCCTCTTTTCTAGGTTGTTCCGGGACAAAATTCACTGCGGATTTAAACACTAGATTTGGAAACGAGTAAATGATCAGAGCTACCCCTATAAAATTAATGAATTTTACTTTCAAGCAGTGTTTGCGGACCTGAGAATGCCAGTTTTAACCGTCTGCACTAAGTTTTACATCGGAGTGAATTCTTGTAATTTTCTTGTGAGTTTTTGTTGTGATGTGAAACATTCTAAGCGTTAAAATTAATTCTTACCTGTGATATCTTGACTAAACTCAACTGTTTCGTACAATTTTAAGCGTTTTGAAAAACCAGGTGCATTTAGGGAACTGGTTTTTTCAGACCCTGAAAAAATTGGCAATCTGAAAGAAAAAATTAATAATTTCATAGAGGGTAGCACTGATCATTTGCTTTTGGTCCATGGAAAATTTTTTTAAGAGTAATGAACGTAGTGAAGACTCTTAAATAGATCTTGCTGATTTTTTTGTTTTTTTTTTCAGGAAAAAGTTAAAATATTGATGCACTTAGGTATTATGCACTTTTTGAGTTCAATTGAAACTCATCTGCTGAAAGTGACGTTAATAGCACTCTCCAAATACGAACGTGGAAATGGCGCGAAAAAACCAGTTTTCTCAAGTTGGGTTCATGTTATCAAAAAAGCGCCAATCATAAATGGTTTAGAAATTCAAAGAGCTTAAAGGGCATTTATTTTTTTCTTAGAAATTCGAAAGCTTTTCAATAAAGTCAGTGTTTTTAATGTTTACTTGCGTTCATTACTCTTTTACAAACTTCGATTGGCTATGTCTTAAATTCCCTGTGAATGTAGTCCAAAATGATCCTTGATAAGATGCAGTTTAGGTACTAAAAACTTGAATTTACCATTAATTTTGTCCTTTAATGCATTGGCGCACTCTAGGGTTACAATCGATTTTGATAAGTGTGTACGCTTGGTGGGAGACGCTAGAACTTCCAAAACTTATAAGCTGTTTTTTTCAAAAATTTTTTCAGTTTTTTCTCATTGGGGAGTCTCCGAAAGTTATGCTGGCGTCTTTTGAGCATGGGAATTTTTTGCTGAGGTTTAATCTAACGTTGTCAATTTGTTTTTCAAGACATTTGGTTTCTGAAATTGAAATTCATTCGAGGTTACGTATAAAAATTTCGTTAGTCACATGAAGTCGATTATAATGGCCTTTTTGATTTTGTTTTCAGAAAAGATTCTCAACTCATCTACTCTCAAAATTGATTTTTGCCATGCTATGTTTATGGAAAGCAAGTGTAAAAATTGAATAATTTCAGTTCTGAAGGAGTTGAGAAGGAATCAGAGTTCGACTTCAGTCGGTCGAGTGCCTCCGCTGGACGGGGTGTCTCGTCTCTATGCAATCCCACTCACTGTATTGGACGGTCAGAACTCATTTTTACAAATATGTTTCCATCAATTTTGAGCAGCTGGAGGTAAATTTTTGAGTTGTCTGGATAGATCTCAGTAGAGTTCTTAAGACCGACGACGTGATTGTTAGAATAAACGCTTTAAGAAAGGAACTAAAATCATTTACGAACCAAAAGAGCTTCCTTTTTAGCTAAATGAAATCAATGTCAAAATGTCTTTTTAACACGAGGCTTATATTATTTTTGATTTCTTAAATTGTTAGCAACTTGTAATGGATTTTTCAAGCTCAAGTTTAAATTTTAGGTATCTTACCCATTAACTGTTCCAGATCTTCAAGATTTGATCAACCGCTTCAAAGAAAATTCGGGCCCCCTGACAGGAGAAATGTGCGAATCAGGTGGCCCATTTTTCTTGGTAAATTGGGACCCCTTCTATTGCAGCTGTGAAACAAGACCAAGGAAAATACCTGTTCACGTTGACGGACCAGAGACGCCACGTGAACAATTTCTTATCGAACAAATTGACCTTGAATATTTCATAATCACAGATGAACAAAAGGCCACGCTAGAGAGTTTAAATATCGGCTTTTCAAACTCGCCAATATTCTTCGAAAAAGTTGAAAAATTGTCGGAAAACACGGAAGTGTTTCTCGATAATGGATGCGCTGGACAAAATATGCCATGCAAGTGGAAAATAAATGCTCATATATGTTTTCAATGTTGGATCAAAATAACTGAAAAAGCTGACCAAGACCAGTATCGTTACACTGAAAAATGTGTCTACATTGTCCCGAAAAACCGTCTTAATAAGATCAGAGAAATTTCAAAATACAGCGGGGGTAATAGAAGGTCACACCATTTGTATGGGTCTCTGAATGTCTATGTGAACTCGACGGATACGATATTTGACTTGAAAAAGAAACTAGCACCTCGCGTTCGAATGTTCATTTCAAATATAGAATTGTCACGCTTCAATTCTGATTCACAGGTACGCATAAGTTAACGTGTTCACTGTTTTCTGTTGACTCATTTTATGTTTATTTTGGTCAATCGAACAGTTGGGTGATTTTTTGATGTAATTTTAAAACAATAGTCGATCGTAATAATTTATCACTGAACTAAGTGAAGACTCTAATATAGGTCGTGGTGATTTTTTGTTTTTTTTCAGGAAAAGTCTGAAAAGTTGCTTTTCGCGGTTTGAATTTTGATTTCTTTTTTTAAAGCTTAATTCTTTTCCTTTGTTAAAAGGAAGGCGAACTCCGCTATCGAAGAGCGAAAGCGCAAAGGTCACGAAAGTCACTATAATATTTCACTATTGGTCCATTTTTCTCAAATTGGGCTATTTTTATCAAAAGTTTGACCCAACTTCCAGGACTGTTTTTGCCATGCCAACTTACTTTTGCACTTCAGTGTATAAAAAACTAGTCGATCGTCTTGTTTTATTGTCAGATTAATTGGTTTTGGTTGAAAAATTTTTTCATCCTCGCTTAATCTACATAGCTAACATGATTGGCTCCTTAGTAGATTTTTTCGAAACTACCGGTTTGAAGCACAGGTTAACAAACTTTCACTAGAATTACTTCATATCATCTGTATAATATTACTCTCCTAAATAAACTATTCAAATATCATCCTACGAACATGGGAACAGCTGTACGTGGACGATACTCTGTTGGTGTACATCATGCATCAACTCTACCAACTACAGACTCGGACTTGTTAACTGATGGGCCGTCGGCCCTTAGAGTTGTTTACTCTTAAATTCAATTTATTATTATTATTATTAATCAGAATCGAAGGTAAGTTTGCAGTTAGAAGTTGATAGTGTCATCAACATATTTTGTTTGTAACATTAGATTAGGTGAAAACCATTCATCTTTGAGAAGGACCAGCTCTTGTAAAATGTTAGCTTTTTGAATGGGATTTTTAAAATTCTAATAGTACCAATGTTTTTTTTCGAAGTTTGATAGTGTAATTTAAACAAATAAATATAATTATTGCGAAAGGAATCAAAGAATAAGGGAAGAGTTAATTAGTTTTTCAGGCAATTGAAATCCTAGACGACGACGAACGGACTCTTGAGTGCTGTAAAGTGAAACCACTGGTGCATTTGATGTATGATGAGAAACCAAAGGATCCGAATGCACCTAGTGTTCCAGACACTGACCACAACTACAGGGAAGCTGGATTTGCAGGCTCAAATCTGCTCTCAGGAGCATCCTCGACTGGAACCATTGCTACCCAAAAAGCAGACGGAGTTATTATCGGAATCCAAAAGTCAGATGGTAATATTATCGGAATTCAAAAGTCAGATGGCGATATTATCGGAGATCACAAAGTAGATACCATGATTAACGGAAGCCAAAAGTCCCAGGAGAAACCGGATGATACAGAGTATCAAAAAAATGGTGAAAACAGCAGTGAAATGATGTCTAACGGAAGTGAAATTTTTGCTTACTTCCCTCCGGTGGTTAGTAAGGAAAAAGATGAGTTCTATTGCCTCGATGAAGATATTGCCGGTCCTGAAAAAATGGATACCGTTGACTGAGATCCTTTGAAAACTAGAAAAGAAAACAGAAATATATATTATTGGTTTTGTGGAGAGTTTCTTCTCTGAGCGAGTGTTTTGTTTTTGATGTTTAAACAAATGGTTTAGTTCTGCAAATAGTGAGATATAAAATTTGAATTTTTGTTCCAAAATCTAATCAATAATTCTAATTTGTGATGAGATGCTCATTTTTGATTTCAATCAAACACTCAAGAAATAAAGCAAATCCCACCTAGTAAGTGCATTTCACTGAAATTTTCAATTTAATTTGTAATCGATAGAAAAAGATATACTAATCGCGACGTTTGAATCTTGGCGTTAATAGCATCAATGCGAACATGGTACCTCGAGTACGTAACGCATCCTTATACTTGAAGTTTTCTTCTAGCAGCCCTTCAAAGATATTTTTTTTTGGTAGCCTGTACTCATATCATGCTATTGTTCATGATCTTGACCTTCCAGCAGTCCTCAGGGCGTCTCTTTCATAAGAATATTTTTGTCCCTTTTTTCGCTGTTTTATCTTCTTTGGGATACTGTGCGTGAAATGCACTCAACTCATTTTAATTGTTGTCGGATGGTAGACTCTGATACATGGTGTGACTGGATGAAGTGAAACATCCTCCAATTTCGATATAAGGATGCTGTAGGTTTCTCTTTATGAGAAAACCAATATTTATGGTTACGTCTCAATTTTCGATAATTTCAGCCTTATGTTGCGGAGCTGTCAGTTTACTCCCAGGGGTTCCTAAAATCTAAGGTTCCTCTAAACTTGACGGCGCAAAAAGAATTTGTTCCCTAAATGTGACTATCAAATATTCTTTCTTTTGTTTTTTTTTAACAAAAACTGATTGAAAATTACGATCAATTAATTGATTGATTGCACTAAATGGTTTACGTACGGGTAATGGAAGTGGATATCTAAAATGAACAAAAATCTCATTTTGAAAATTATTGATTATACAAAAAAGAGTGTTTTATAATGTGAAAAGTGCAGTTTTACGCTGTCTGTTTTTAGGGTCTTATGTCGGAGGTAAAAATACAATGACCTTAAACCCAGTCGTTTTAAACTTATGACCACATTAGACCAAGAAAACCGGAAATTTGATTTTGTATTTGAATCGTTTAAGTTATGAAGAACGCTGCTGTATGCCACCATCTTTTTACGGTTGCATTAATTTTTCTTGTTTTTTTCTTTGGACTTTTATTGAATTAGGAAGAAAATCGCACCATCACAGTCTGTTTGGAGCATCCAAATTAGGACACAACATGTTACTTAAATGGGCTCCTTGCAGTCAATAAAAAGTTACGTTAGAACTATTGAGTCAATTGCTGTGAAAGTTATCACATTGAGATTTTGAGATTCATGTTCCTACTTACTTTTCTACTACCCAGCTCTAAAGTTATTCAAAGGGGGAGCATACCTGCATTCTTTAATCATATCAAAAACTAGAAAATATTTCAGATAGAAATAGTTGTTGATTGGTTCTCGTGACCGACTGAGCATGAGTATGAGCATGGGTGGGGGCGGTGGTAGCTCGGACTACGCTGTTTTGAAGCAGTCTGCTATGTCCGAAGAGGCAGTGGCCTCCTTTGTTAGAAGACTAGCCCAACAGGAGATCGAATTCGAAGACTTCAAACAACACTTCACTCAGTGAGTATTAGATAAGCATCAGCATCAGTCGAACATATTCAAACAGAATGTTAGTTAGTGTTGCGAGCACTCTCGAAAGATTGGGAAGAAACTATGGCGTAAGGTGGAAGGCTTTTGATTTCTCTAATAAAATGCGCACAGATAGTCAAGTGAGTTCTCATTAAAGCCCTCTCTGTCGTGAATCGGATTCGAAAAAGACATATTAAAAAAAAATTGGTCTGAATTTACTGATATTCGCACGCAAGTTTACTGATGACTCAGAATACTTGAAAGAGTTTTAACATGTTTTAAAAACATACTAATATTTGTAGATTTATCACATCTTCTTCACTAAAAACCATGTGAAAATGACCAAGAAAAAACAAGGACAAAATGTTCCGACCATTGTCTTAGAAAATACGAAAAAAACTTCCGTCTCGTTTTTTTTCTGCGTGGCGTGATATAAGGATCTAAAAAAAAATTTTGAACTTAGGCATATTCGACAATCATAGTAAAAAAGGCAGATTTAAAAACAGTTTTTAAAGAAAAATGACTAGAAAAACAAAAAAAAATAATTTAAAAAATTTTTTTGGAAGAATTTATTGAAGTTTTTGATTTCCTAAATGGCGTTAAAAATTCTTAAAATAATTTTACTCATTTAAAACTAAAATAAGCCACAACTCAGCTATTCTAAACGGCCTAATTTAAGCATAAATGAGCCTGCTTGCTTGCTTTATTTGCTCGAAATTATATACTAAAAATCGAAAATTGCATGTGGATTTTTCTCGACACTGAGAATTTTTGTTTCAAGTTTTTCTAATGTTCAAATATCGGATGAAAGGAAGTTAATATCATATCAACAGACGCATTCCGATGTGACCCTAATTTTGCTTGGAGAACAAAAAAAACTACAACACCCGAATTCAAAGTTTTTCCCCATTTTCAATGGTCGGAACGAAATATCTGTATTTTTCTTGATAACTGGAGTAATTATTCTGTACAACTTGCACAGATATTGGCGGTCCTTGTTGCTCAATGTGATTTTCATTGCGTCAAAAACTTATGTTAAAATGAAGTTTTTGGTATTTTTTAGCCTTTTTCAATCATATGATATCAGATAGTGTGCATCAGTTTGACAATATCATTCACTTCGGCATAACTGTGATACTGCTACTGCAATAATAGTAAGGTGATGTGTTTTAACCTTCAGTGAACTATTGTATTTATTTTATACCACTGTCCAAGGTCACTGTATCTAAAACCTTCGGTACACCGCTAAGTTGATCAGACTAACATGAATCTACGTAGATCTCAGCAGTTCTCATAGAGAAAACTATTAATTCGATTAACAATTAAATTCTTCGGAATTATAAATTAGTTTTCCAATAAGATAGCCTCGTAGGATAGGATATCACATGGCGCAGCCAGCAGGATTCTCAGTTCAGGATAATCGCACTGGTATGGGAATACCAGTATTTTGGGCTTCAGCGAACCTAGACCCACCGTGGCAATTCAAAATTTGGTCAGAGCAATTTCCTATGGCAATCACGGTCAAGGAAAAGGTCAATCCAAAAATTATGCTTGAAGACCCGAAAAAAATACTGGGAGAACCACCACTAAGACCAGAACCACCAGAGATGGGGAAGACGTAACTGCAAGACCAGCCAGAGATCTTAGAGACAAATTAGCAAGAGACTGAGTGACACTTGAGAACGAAGAAAGAAGAGCACGTGGACCAAGGGTTGGCCACAACTTTTATTATAACGAGGTACAAAAGAAGCTTGTAACCAAGCATTCCATGCGGCGTTAACTGCACAAGCAGCAAGATCTGAGTTGGGAACCCTCGAGGACGAAATTGTTCGCGATTTGTTTATTTCAAAGATACTCTGACTTTCGAAACACTCGCACCAGAGGAAGTAACAAAAAAAACTAAAACATTTTCGTTAGAAAACAAAAACACACCCGAATACAAAGTTTCTCCCCATTTCCAATGGTGGGACGAAATATCTGTATTTTTATTGATAACTGGACCAAATATTCTGACAACTTGCAAAGACATTGGCGGTCCTTGTTGCTCAATGTGATTTTCATTGCGTCAAAAACTTATGTTAAAATGAAAGTTTGGGTATTTTTTAGCCTTTTTCAATCATATGGTACAAGAGTGCATCAGTTTGTTAAAATCACCCGCTTCGGCATAACAAAGACGACGACCTCAGACTAAATTTTATGGTTTTTTTTTTAATTTAAAAAATTATACCATAGAATTAAAAGACTTCCGAATTGAATAGAATTCAAAGTCTTTTTTGAAAAGGACCATTTTTTTGTTGCAATCTCTTTGTTTTTTTTGGCTAAGAGGCCCAATGAAATGCTTTATTGCGTTTGGTTTTGCTAATCAATTTTCATGACATTGGTTTAGTTCTGGTAAAGTATGTGAATAAGTTGTTGTTGAGGTTGAACAACTTGAAAGCGCAGACGGAGAGACAGCTGAAGTCGAAAGTGTTCACGAATTACACGTACTTCATAGAGACAGCGAAGGAGATCAAACGACTGGACAGCGAGACCAAACATATAGGTATGGTATACTCATATGAGACTAGGAGCGGATCTAGGATTTTCTCTAGGGGGGTGGTGGGGTTCGAATTTTCAAAAGATTTTCGAAAAATTTGTCGACCTTTTTTTTAGGTTGACCAAAATGACTTCCGAGCTCTCCCAAAGCACTTAAAAGACCCTGTTTTGGCCACTTTTTGGAAAATTTTGACCAAAAAATTGCGTTTTTTCGGCGCGCGCTCCCCCCTAAAATTAGTATATATTGGGGCCAAATACGCCCTTAGAAAAAATATAGGGTCCGTCAGCCAAAAGTTGATATCTCAAAATAGTACAAAGCGGTGACTCCTTGGGTCATCAGGGGGTAGAATTCTTGAGGGGAGGGGGGGGGCTCCGCGCCAATTTAAATTGTCAGAAACTGACTGATTTTATCTCTTATTTCTTTCTAATTCATGAATAGGTAATTTATGAATGAATAGTGATTAATTTGCTCTACCAGGACATTTTCGGCCCTTTGTTTAGTCGGCTTTTCTTTTTCTAGTCGTCATTTGATCGTATGTCTACCTGAAAAAGGGCAATTTGAGCCATCCAGTCCGTATTCTGAATCTATTGCGCACACCAACAAAAAAACACTGTTCGATGTTTACAAGATCTTGTCTTGTTTGAAAAGTTGTCTTGTCTGAAAATAAAGGTCTGTTTTGTTAGGCGACCTCTTAACTGATCAGAGGCAGATGTTAAGCGAACTGAACAAAGCGCTAGCTCAAGTGTCTCAATCCGATCTGTTCAACGTCAAGTTCCAATCTTCTGCGGCTAACTCGGCCAACAGCCGATTGAACACTGAAGTATCTGGACTGAATCTACCTGTTAATGACACTAGGACACTTGTGTCAGAGGATGTAGTCGATGAAATTGACCTGCATACAAATAGGTTAGTATTTTGTTTTT